TAAAGTAAAAATAAATATCTATATATATATATATATATAACAACTAGGAATGCACCGATACAGATACGAGTATTGGTGCCGATACCGAGTATTTGAGTACTCGTATTTACCCCAATGCTCCGATACTGGACTTCCGATCCGAGGGAAATCTTCCTCTGGCCGGCAGTGCCGAGGGAACCATGGAGGCGGCTTCCTCTCCAATCCAGGAAGCCGGGCGCTGTGAATTGAGGGATCTGGAGCTGATGTCATCCAATAGGTGGAGCGCTTCATGCATGCTAATAAAAGTGTTCATAGTATGTTCTGCAGAACCCAATTCTACGAGTACCTGTCATGTCTGCTTGCAGGTTAGGAACGGTGAATTCACTCTGCAGCTGGGCGTGGACGAGGTGTACACTCTGACAACTCTTCTGAAGGGCCGGAAAGGGTCTTACCCCGACCCCCCAAAATCTCAGCCCTTCCCCCGAAACTACAAGGATGACTTTAATGTCCGTAAGTATGCAGTATGTAGGCGGCGTGACTGTTGGATCGGTGTCTTCTGTTTATGGACCGGAAGCTCCTCCTATAATGTGTGAATTTTCTGGTTGGCGATCATGCTGCCGCCTTCTATTCCTCATAGACCCCGGGGGGGTAAAATCTCCCCAAAACATTGTGTCTCCCAGATGCACAGATCACACCCCTGGGCTCCGCCTCCATTCACGTCCACCACATTGTACATTCACATTGAATCATGGGAAATGTAGGACCTATTTCCACGTCAGATCTGACGCGTGGTGCCTGCATAGATGTAAAGGGGAGAGGGAACTAGAAATCCAAAGTGGGCAGAATCCTGGAGTTCATAGCAGTGTGGAAATTAAATCTCAGAGGGTTCTTATGTTCTCAGGAGGACGCACGGGAGACCTCAGAGGGTTCCGACATTCTCAGTAAGGCACACAGCAGACCTCAGGAGGGTTCTGACATTCTCAGCAGGACACACAGCAGACCTCCGGAGGGTTCCGACATTCTCAGCAGGACACACAGGAGACCTCAGGAGGGTTCTCAGTAGGGCACACAACAGACCTCAGAGGGTTCCCATGTTCTCAGTAGGGCACACAAGAGACCTCAGCGGGTTCCCACATTCTCTGTAGGGCACACAACAGACCTCAGAGGGTTCCCACGTTCTCAGTAGGGCACACGGCAGACCTCAGGAGGGTTCCCACGTTCTCAGGACACACAGGAGACCTCATAGGGTTCTCAGGACACACAGGAGACCTCAGGGGGTTCTGAAGTTCTCAGGAGGACACACAGGAGACCTCAAGGGGTTCTGAAGTTCTCAGGAGGACACACAGGAGACCTCAAGGGGTTCGGACATTCTCAGGAGGGCACACAGGAGACCTCAGAGGGTTCGGACATTCTCAGGAGGGCACACAGGAGACCTCAGGGGGTTCTGACATTCTCAGGAGGGCACACAGGAGACCTCCCAGGGTTCGGACATTCTCAGCAGGACACACGGGAGACCTCAGGAGGGTTCTCAGTAGGGCACACAGCAGACCTCAGAGGGTTCCCATGTTCTCAGTAGGGCACACAAGAGACCTCAGCGGGTTCCCACATTCTCGCACACAGCAGACCTCAGAGGGTTCCCATGTTCTCCTCAGGACACACGAGAGACCTCAGAGGGTTCCCACGTTCTCAGGACACACGGGAGACCTCAGAGGGTTCCCACGTTCTCAGGACACACGGGAGACCTCAGAGGGTTCCCACGTTCTCAGGACACACAGGAGACCTCAGCGGGTTCCCACATTCTCAGGACACACAGGAGACCTCAGAGGGTTCCGACGTTCTCAGGGGGACACACAGGAGACCACAGGAGGGTTCCGATGTTCTCAGGAGGACACACAGGAGACCACAGGAGGGTTTCCGATGTTCTCAGAAGGACACACTGGGTATCTGAAGATGTGAATTGCTCCTCAGGATTGATACTCATTCATATTTTATTGTGCCCAGGTATCCCTTCGTTCAGTGAGGCCCCATACTTCGCAGACCAGTCTGGAGTGTTCGAATACTTCACAAACACCTCGGACCCCGGAGATCACACGTTCACCTTCCGACAAGTGCTGACTCAGTTTCCCATCACCTGGGTGTCTGACGCCAAGCAACCCATCAGCATCATTGGCGACTTCACTTGGTGAGCGGCCCCCCCTCCCCCCATCACGTTCTTATTGTTGTGCATACATAAGAGGTGCCGTGTCTCCATTGTGAATGTCCTCTCAATCATCAAAATCCTGCAGGAGGAGGGGTGCGGAACCAAGCCCCCCTATATAAAAATTAGTGAGAACACCTCATTTATAGGTCAAGATGATATTTTATTAGATATTCAGTAGAAAAAAGAGCCAAAACACGATAATGGTGCATTGCACCGGTTTTTGTTACAACTCACTCCTCCCCTTTTAGATACATTAAAAAAAAACTTTTTTAATATATTTTATACTTTAAATCGCCTTGTTTTCAATTTTTCTTTCACTTAATATTGCTATGACGAAGGGCCTAACAATACCCAATGTGATAGCATTTGGAAGTGACAGGTTCTCTTTATGGAGACATCGGGGGTCTATTAGACCTCTCCCCTGCCCTCCAATACAGGAACGTGCTTGTAACCGGCACTGCAGCTCCGAAGCAGGAAGTGCTGACAGCTCTGAGCGCCCCCCCTCTTCATTCATCACAGAGCAGAAGGGGGAATGGACGTTCCTCAGTCTGCTCCCACCATCCAGCCTGGCACCCTATGCCGTGGTCCCGGGTCCCCCAGAGGACCTTTAAAACCAGTAGCGGGAAGGCTGGCTGTACATCCCTTTTGGTGGCTCGGCCTGGCGTCATTGGTTGTTAGGATGCCAGCGGCCCAGCCACCAATGAAATGGAAGGGGCACCTGCGCTGGGTTATGGCTGGCAGTGGGTGCACGAGCCTCGGGGCCGATGTGTCCGTCAGTCAGCCATAACCCATTGCGGGTCTGTGATCGCAGTCCGGACAGAACCGCCACTCAGTCTGTGTCCGGACCGTGGTCTGCCATTTATGGACCCAATGCCGTACAGTGTATATCAAGGGTAGCCAAACTCCGGCCCCCCAGCTGTGGTGGAACTACAGATCCCATGAGGCATTGCAAGATTCTCACAGACATGACTGCCGGAGAGAGATGCTTCATGGGATTTGTAGTTTCACCGCAGCTGGGGGGCCGGAGTTTGGCTACCCCTGGTGTATGTGATGACTTGCTGCTTGCAGTACCACTTGCAGCCAGGAGGGGGCTCTGTACACCTTCTCCAATCCTCACCTCCCTCTGTATTTTGTCCTCGCAGGTCCAATGTGACGGTAACCTGCGACATTTACATCGAGACCGCGGACGTGGGCGGAGTCTTCATCGCGGCCAGGGTGGATCAAGGCGGATCCCACACCTACCTAGCCAAAGGGATCTATTTCTGGGTGTTCGCCGACGGCACTTATAAGGTCACCGGAGATTTACGTAAGTGCAGATTTCGGGAAGAGCGCCGGCAGACAGGCGAGGGGGCGGGGGACGCATTGCTTGAGTGAGACGACGCCGGTCAGATCCCGAGACTGCTGATAACAGTAGTAAAAGGTTCCCTGGTGTGCAATTCATTTGATTTCCTTAAAGTTTCATCAAAAATATTAGGAAATTGTAATTTTCGGGAACTTAAAATTTGCTCATCCACAAGCTCATCTCTCCGTCACTCTGCTCTCTCCTTCTATCAGCTTGCTGCTGGCACTGCACCACAACTGATTGGATCATTCTGCTGCTTCTCCCTCCCCTAGTCTATACTCTGCTGTACTCGAGTCATATTCAGGTACTCACACTGCTCCCTCCCCCGGTCTGAGCTCGGCTGTAAGATGTGGCTACATGTCTTGTATAGAGAGAGATACAATGTATCGGTTTGTGTCTCACGTCGGCGGATTGGGATTTCGGTTCCTCATTGTCGTCTTTTATTCGCAGTCGGGAAGATCATTCTGGTGAAAGGAGATTCCGGTGTCCGCGCCGGGGCTTGGCACACGCTGACCCTTCACCTCGAGGTATGGGGGTGACCACCTCCCCGGGGGGGTGGGGGGGAGGGGTAAATGGGGCGTTTTACCGATCTGCAATATTTCTTTTGTCATATTAATCCATCAGAAAAAGATTTCTACCAGGGTGGCCCCTCCCACAAACTGGCGAGGGGAGGCGGAGCCTTATTCCTTGCTGTCACATGCACGCCTTCCTCCTGATTGGACGGCTCAGGAAAAGGACTTCAGCAGTTACAATCCTCTTAAAGGGCCGGGAGGGGTTGAGGATCCGCGGCAGGGCGCGGACTAACGGCGCCTCTCTCTGATTTCCCCCCTCCAGGGTTTCCACGCCTACGGCCTCCTGAACGGCAATCCTCTGTGGAAGGACGTCATCACGGTGGGACCGGTTCACGGCTGGGCCGCCATCGGCACGGCGGCGTTCGAGTTTGCGCAGTTTGATAACTTCAAGGTGGAAGCCAAAGTCCAGTAAGATCTGAGCGGCCGCCTGGCGGGGGATCGCAGCACTGAACTGACCGCCGCCGAGCGCGGCTTTACTGTGAACTGACCGGAGGGGGAGGGGCGCTCCTGACACACTGTACAATGATGACCCCGAGCTGGTGGTCCAGACATGGTTTTAGAGACCCGTCTCTCTCTCTCTCTCTCTCTCTCTCTCTCTCTCTGTCTCTCTCTGTATATCTCTCTCTCTCTACTCTCTCTCTCCTGACATTTTTATTTTTTCCTGGCTGGAGAACATCCAGCATCATCTTGTACTTTCCTCCCCAGCCTGACTGTCCCTGGCCCCGCCCCTTTCATTTAGTTCTGTCAATCATGGCGGCTCGGCATCACATGTGGGCGTTACCTAGAGCGGTCTGTCCAGATGTAAGATACAGGTGAATGCTGTGTGGTGGGGGGCGTGGCTTATTTTATATTCAGGACAGGAAGTGAGCCGTGTAATATAATGGGACTGGTCACATGTTCACACATAGCGGTACGGTCACATGTTCACACATAGCGGTACGGTCACATGTTCACACATAGCGGTACGGTCACATGTTCACACATAGCGGTACGGTCACATGTTCACACATCGCGGCACGGTCACATGTAATTAGCGGTACGGTCACATGTTCACACATCGTGGTACGGTCACATGTTCACACATCGCGGTACGGTCACATGTTCACACATAGCGGTACGGTCACATGTTCACACATAGCGGCACGGTCACATGTTCACACATAGCGGCACGGTCACATGTAATTAGCTGTACGGTCACATGTTCACACATCGCGGTACGGTCACATGTTCACACATCGCGGCACGGTCACATGTAATTAGCGGTACGGTCACATGTTCACACATCGCGGCACGGTCACATGTAATTAGCGGTGACCCAGAACGGCACACACTGCAATACACTGAGAAGGCTGCAATTGAAGCTTCCATTTCCTGACCCCCAGAAAGGTGTACAAGCTTTGCTATGTGACAGGTTCCCTTTAAGGCTCCGGATCCAACATCCCCGGATTGCGATCCCCTCCCCCATTCCACAATGGAAACCAAAAAACGGATATTGCGCCAAATTTAGATTTATTTTTTTAGGATTCTTTACGTGAAATGCGAATTATCTCCGGGTGACCGTCCCCGTCTGATCGTACAATCCCGCCTCCCACAGACGGGACCGCCCCCTTTATATCCCGTCAGGCACGATATCGAATTACACACGTCACAGGGAACCCGAAAGGAGATTGTACAATCACATTGCATGGTGTGTGTGTGTGCTCGGCTGGCCCAGCACGGCTCCCGTTTTGTAGCATTTTTTAGACTCTTCGGTTCCCTTTTAGATTGATTCCAATGAATGAAGACATTCCATTCTAGATATTGATGTCCATATGACATCACAGAGACGCCTCAGGGTGACACTCCGGGCTGAATGAGATTTGCTCCGTCATTGTCTAATGAGAGGATGGCAGTAGCGGTTTGCCTTCAGAACGTCTCTCTCTGATTGAATCTACATACAGGGGGGGTGGGAGGTGGCGCTCCGCTTCATGTCTTCCCGTCTATTCTTAGCTGCTCTGCTGAAGAAAGTCAGAGAGAGGCGAGTCTGGGCTTTGGTGTGAATCCAATCACCCAAACCCACTCAGAACTCCCACGCCCCGCCCCCTTGTGACAGACAGCCATTGGGGGGGGGGGGGGAGCCCCTTCGCACAAAAAAACACCCCCTTTGGGGGGGGGGGGGGTGCACCTCTCTGACACTGATTGGGTCGGAAGGCGGAGTGCTGGTCCTGGTTGGTTGAACTGGATTCACAGCAAAGCCAATCCTCGCCTCTACTGAGGGGGACAGAGGAGTCCTTCCTGCCGCGCCTCTACTGAGGGGGACAGAGGAGTCCTTCCTGTCGCGCCTCTACTGCTCAGCTGGAGCTCTGACTTTCTTCAGCAGAGCAGCTAAGAATAGACTGGAAGACATGAAGCGGAGCGCCACCTACTGGATGGGAACCGACCAATCAGCAACGCTCCATATCTCACAACTGAGAACGTTTCTATTTGTATTATTATTAGTCCTGAAAATAAAATTGCCGCACATTCACCGCACATTCACCGTACACTTGCCGCACATTCACCGTACACTTGCCGCACATTCACCGTACGCTTGCCGCACATTCACCGTACGCTTGCCGCACATTCACCGTACACTTGCCGCACATTCACCGTACACTTGCCGCACATTCACCGTACGCTTGCCGCACATTCACCGTACGCTTGCCGCACATTCACCGTACACTTGCCGCACATTCACCGTACACTTGCCGCACAAACGCTCGCCACACATTCACTGTACGCTCGCCACACATTCACTGTACGCTCGATTGACATCTCATGTATTTTGCCTTCTCATTTACTTATTTTATTTCGCTCGCTGCTAACTGATCTAAAAAGAAATGAACTTTGTTTATGAATTTTGTATTTATAATCTCCGATGTGCCTTTCATCTGATTGGTGTAAACGGATGAGGATGATGAGGATTGATATTGATGATGATTAAAAAAACTACTAAATTGAACGGTTCGGACTCTTATTTGAATGGAGGCCGGCCGGCGGTGGGCAGCTCACGTTGGGCCCTTTCCAAGCAGCTGATTAAAAAACAAAACAAAAGCCAATGCATTCCTCGTCTCTCTACATCCTCCAGCTGCTGCAGAGCAACGGTTATTGAGAAGTACACAAGCGTGTCAGGATAATGCAGTGGTGGCCTTTCACTTGTCACCTCATCCATAGACATGAGTGGCAATTCTAGGGAGTAGTATGTATAGCTGCACCATTATATACCATTCGGGTCTGGCCCCACCTCCAAGGAATCATGTACACCAGTGGTCCTCAACCCCCGGGCCGCGGACCGGTACCGGTCCGTGGATCAAATGGTACCGGGCCGCGGTCCGGTCATGCAATATATGGCAGTGCACGGTCCCGGTGTTCGAACACCGGGGGCCCCGCACTGCTGACGGGCTTCACAGTGAGGGGGCGGGTCCTGTGACTCACATCCCCTCCCGGCCGCGTCCATAGTAACAGGCGGCGGGAGGGGAGGTGAGTCACAGGAGGCGTGTGTGTCACAAGCCCCACCTGCAGCGTCCATCTCCTGGCAACCGCCTATCACAGCCTTCTCTGCTCTCTGTGCCCGCCCGCCTCCAACCGTCCTCTCTCCCCCTGACACACCGCTCGTTGTCTCGGGCTGGCTTGCTGACACAGGACCCCTTCATCCTCCAATCCCCCCTTACGTCACAGACCCCTGCACCCTCCAATCCGCCCCTATGTCACAGACACAGCACCCTCCAATCCCCCGGCATCATTGACACAGACCCGTCAACCCTCCAACACCAGGAATCACTGACACAGGACCCCTCCACCCTCCGACACCCCAGCAACATTGACACACACCCCTCCACCCTCCGACACCCCGGCATCACTGACACAGACCCCTCCACCCTCCAACACCCTGTTGATGTCGCTGACACAGATCCAGCTACCCTCCATCACAGACACAGACCACACTACCTACCAACATCCCATATGTTGTGCCGCAGACCCATTTACCTTCCAAAACCCCAACATCACTGACAGAGCGCTTCACCCTCCAAACCCTGCTGATGTCACTGACCTAGATCCATCTACCCTCCATTACTCCCTACATCACTGACACAGACCCCTCGAAACTCCCCTTATGTCACAGACACAGACCCCTCCACCCTCCAACACCCCAACATCACTAACACAGACTCCTTTCTCCGTCAACACCTCCATGTCACTGACATAGATCCCTCCACCCTACATTGCTAACACAGTCTCTCTCCTTCTTGCACCCCAGCATCAGTGCACGGTCCCGGTGTTAAATACAATTAAATTAAAATTATTAAATCAAAACAATCTAAAATATAAACAATCAATGTCCCCCCCTCAGTGGGCCGCGGTAAAATTATCAAACGTTAACCAGTCCGCGGCGATAAAAAGGTTGGGGAGCACTGATGTACACCATTCGGGCCTGGCCCCACCTCCAAGGAATCATGTACACCATTAGGGTCTGGCCCCACCTCCAAGGAATCATGTACACCATTAGGGTCTGGCCCCACCTCCAAGGAATCATGTACACCATTAGGGTCTGGCCCCACCTCCAAGGAATCATGTACACCATTAGGGTCTGGCCCCACCTCCAAGGAATGCCCGGGTGAAAAACTGCGTGCGTCCTTGAAAACGGCGACAAAGTACTGCACCCCACCTTGTCCATAGGTGAGCAAAGTCCGCACAGGTCATTGGTTTAGAGATCTGTGCATATTGGTGGGAGAATTATTGCTCTCACTCTGGCGCAGGCGGCGACACGTGCACGATTGTCCTTTTCACAGGCGCAACCGACGCGTGTTTACGCTAATTCACAAGCACTTGTGGGGGCGGGAGGACTTTAATAAATAAAAAAGGGTTAATCTTATTTTATTGTTTTTTAAACTTAATTGTCATCACATAGGGGGGCTTACAAGCCCCCTATGCGATATATTAGGTGGTGACAGGTTCTCTTTCAGGTGACACTCGGGGGTCTATTAGACTCCGAGTGTCACCTCTCCCCTCCAAGCAGGCTACCGAAGTGCAGATCGCGCGCTAATAGCTTCCGCAGCCGACCAATGACAGCCATGGGACCGGAAGTGATGCAATCAGCGTGGTTTCCGGTCCCCTACAGTAGGGAGGAGATGGGCGAACAGATGCACACCGGTATCCTTCCCCCGCTTCCTGCCGACACCCATGAAGCCGGGCCCCCAGGAGGGGCACGCATTACACCGGCCCCTGGAAGCGATGTGGCGGCTCGGCTCGTCTTTACGTGCCCTTGGCATGTAAAACGCACCGATGGCTCCGGCAAACATTTCACATAAACGGCTTTTCAAAACAGAGTCCCGGCCCGCTGCCAGCGAACATGTGACACACATCGGTGGCAGTGAAAGGGTTAAAGGACTCGCCGTGGGCCCGCCCCCGTACAGCAAAGTGCTGAAATAAAGCCGATCCTCGGTCCTGTGGTGGTGGACGGTCGGCACCCACCTCTCTCT